CGGAACCCTTTTAGTTTAAACAGACCAAGGCGGCCTTCTGCAACGGGAGGGGCTGTTGAAGACTTGTGGGAGGAGCTGTTGATGACTTGTGGGAGGAGCTGTTGATGACGCTGCACGTGCGAGCCACTGGCGGTGGATTAACAGGAAACAGCTGATAGCAGGAATTAGCGAGCAGCTAGTAGCAAGAGGGAAACACAAACCTGACAGACACTGTAAAGATGAGCAACTGGGGAGACAAGGAATTGCGCGCCCTCCTTGCCCTCGCAAACGAAGAGGCCATTAACCGTCAGATGACGGGGACGGTGAAGAACGGGCCGACTAACGAGAGAATCGCAGAAGGACTGACCAGCTGCAGCTTCCCTCCCACATCACTGTTTACGTCACATGCTGAGCTACATGTTTTGTTACTTGCTCACGCCCCCCATTGCCCCGAAAAAGGCGCATTCTGTATAAACAAAAGTAGGCAGGCGGCATTTTGCTGCACTCCCCGATTTTGTTTTTATACTGCCAATGCTGAAAAAAGACTGATTGGACTTTCCTGCACATTTGCACAACTCCTGTTTTAAAAAGGGCTAAAAATGCCCTGCAAAAAGCACCTAGCAAAATCCAGCAAGTCCATGAATATTTTCGTGGTTAATTAGGGTTCTGCACACATGAAGAGGTTGGGAAGTCTCATGCATTGCAGGTTTAACTTCCTGTTTGAATCTTGCCCCACCCGCCTACGTGATGCCACAACTATGAAGGCATGCAATTTCGATAATGTGGTTTCACAGCTATGGCTCAATAAAAAAAGTTTCTTTCCTCTCATCAGGTGAGAAAAGAAACTTATCCCAATTGACCATATGTCTCAATCACTCTTAAATCACCCTACAAAGATCAATGTTCAATGATAGAACACGTATCGGGTATGTAGTGCATAGTACGCGATTTGGGATGCAGCGATGGTCTAAATGGCTGAATGTTGAAATTATATATTCACTGAGACACTGAGCCTTATTTGTATGGAAGGACATATATTAATGAATCACTGCAGACCTAATCTGAGAGCAGAATAAAACTAGATAATGAGTTATGTGTCAGGGATCATCTATAATCCAAAGAATTAACTGTTTGTCAGATTGATTTACAAGTTTCTACTCATTGCATCAGTAGAGGAAATAGTAAAGACCTTTGCGATTAAGCAGCCCCCTACCTATCTCCATAGTATGAAAACACAGGAAGAGCGCTTCCAGAAATCTACAAAACCCCTCTGTTTAATGTCAGCAAGTCCTCATTGATTACTTCCCTCATATTGTGGGAACTGGCGCTTGCAGTTTTTCCTTGGAGCTCGTCAAAGAGAGACTCGTAGCTTGACCCTGCCAGCTCACTTCTGCTTTCATCCCGTCTCTTTGACAGCTTCAGACTGTTGTTATTTTTTTATACTCCTGCGTCATGTTTGATTCAACATTCAGTTTTGTTTCCAGGTACGGTCAGTGGTAGGAAATCCCCCCCTACTGCGTGCTAAACAGCAGTGAGTAAGAGTTCTGTGTCAAATTGTGTTAAGTTGCCTTTCACTGGCATTTAAAGGTGCAGTGTTGCAAAACCACTAGTTGGTTGAAATCATTTGACTTTTTTTCTTGGCAGTTTGACCTTTTTCCCAACATTATCTGTACGTAAGATGGATAATTACATGTGTTGTTACTTAGCATTGAATGAAAGTAATTTTGGTCCTTCATAAGGTGGCTGCTTGTGCATCTGTCTTTGTGAGGACTAGTGTTTTAGACTTTGAGATTGAGGACGCTTTGCATTTGACATCGAAGAACTAGTGGAGACATGAGCTGACCATTGTGTTGCCCTAACGTCGCCTGTTTCTCAGCCAAAATGTTGAACTTGAATACACTGCGAAGACGTAGGCCAGGGATCAGCGACCTTTACTACCAGACAAGCCATTTTTGGTCCAAAAAAATTAATTTAATCTGTCTGGAGCCGCAAAATATATTAGAGCCTCATTTTTTGGTCAGAGCCACAGGGAGCCATTGGAGAGGGGCTAAAGAGATGCCTGCAGCTCTGAAGCCACAGGTTGCCAACCTCTGACCCTCGCCCCAAGGGCTCTTGAACCCCAAGGGCCAGTCCCAGTACCCCCCCTTAGCCCTACCCCTTAGCCCTACCCCTTAGCCCTACCCCTACATTTGCAGTTCCCGTAAGGGGTAGGGGTGTCCCAATTCCTTTTTAGGAAGGGGCATAACGAGGGGTAGTGGGTATGAAACTAGCCCTTCAGAGCGAGGGATTTCAGATGCTGACTTGCCAGCGAGGGGTTAGTCTCGCTCACCAGACCTTTCTCAAGAAAAGAAAGGTCTGGCTGTGCCGACTCTCACTTTAAGATTGGAGAAAAAAACGCCCCAGCTTTTTTTATTTCTTTCAACCAATCACAATCGTTCTGGGCGGTGCCACAGCAACGGTGCGCTTGCAAAAATATTGCCGGGGGGAAACAGGTTTTGGTGTAACGCCCACAAAAATATCGCCTACAGGACGCGAACCATGGCAGAAAAATGGCTACATCCCTGCAAGATCAAACACCGCAAAAGTTAGTAAAGGACGTGTTGAAAACTGCAACCGGAGGTGGTAGGGTGGGACTTCAGCGGGTGGCTCCTTCCGCCCAATGAGAGACTGATCTATGCAGCGAACTTCCACCCACTCAGACTAGAGAGGGGTAGTTGTCGCCATGGCTACCACCGAGCAAGAGACGGGGAAAAAAGTTCATACGTAGCTAACGTTACTGTCGTCAGGTTGCTCGATAGCTAGCTCGCTATCTGGCGTCTGTCATCTGTCCTGTTCTGCAAAATTGTTGGATTTTTCACATTATGATAACACACCAGCTAGTATAACTATGCTGCATCGCAATGTTAGCTGGTTAGCTAGCTAGCAGATGTCGTCTGTCGTTCATCAAACGAAGCATGATGAATACAGCAAACGCAATCGGTAGGATGAACTCAACTGGAGACTCCAGTGTAGATGCCAGTTGGAAATGTAGATGGCTCACAGCTTCCTGTTTAAAATAGTTATGTATGCGTGAACGTAACCGATGCAGTGACGTAGTGAGTGGTGTGACAATTCCTAGGGAAAGATTTCAACCCCTACCCGTCATTGCTTCATTTCGATGGCTAAGGGGTAGGGGGCAAGGGGGGGTATTGGGATTGGGCCCAAGTCAACGTTTGGGTTGTGCGAACTGATAAATCCATCATGAAGGTCTTCTGTTCTCCCTTTTTGAATGACGCTGGTGTGGAGAGTTATTTCCTCTTGCACAGGTGTGGAATATACGTGCTAGGCGACGTGAGACTAGCAATAATCATCCTTCTTCATCACTGGTAAATCCTTGATGTCAGATTGGTGTGTTTGGGCCTCGAGACTTGGTTTTAGCGTGGGTGGATTGTGAGACAATGAGTGCAGAAGGGCCCACCACCTCTCCTAAATTCCTACTGTACGTAGGAGAAAGACACAGACTTTTGTTGTTTTGCATCTGTCTTTGTCTTTGTGGTTATTTTGCCCCTTTTTGTAGTCGTTGCGAGTCTCTCTGTGTCTCTTTGCAGCTGTTTTGCATCCTTTTGTGGTCAGTTTGAGTCCCTCAAATTTTTTGCAGAGCGGCCCCTAACACTTTGGTCCCTTTGGCCTGTGCCTGGTAGGCCTGTTCAGTAATACATCAATGGATTTGGTTTCACTAATGTTTGGGTTGAAGCCAAGGTAAGGGTTGGAGTTAGTATAGCTGTGTGTTTCTGACTCATACCAGATCTTAATCTTGATCTTCCTTCCTTCTTTGTTTATGCTAATGTCTGTACTGATTGTGCAGAGACATACATATAATCTATGTAGCTCTAAGTAAACAGTACTTAAAGATATTCAAAGGTGATCTTTGCCATGACTGTGTCAGTGAAGCAGCCATTTATAAAGTGCAGCCAGGTGTTTGTTCAGCAGACTGAAAGTGGGCTGAAGGTTACTGTTGTCAGCCAGACCGGCTCATGTAAGACACTTACTGAAACAGCAGAAGGAAGTGATGCTAACTTGAGCAAGATGCAGTTTCACACACACACACACGCACACACACAGAGTGAGGTTTGTCCTCTCCTTCTGCACTTGAGACCTGATAAAGATAATTAATTTATACAGTGGTATTACAATAACTGATTTGATATAATATTGATATCATTGATTTCTTGCCCAGCTCTGCAGTGTATTCAGAGTCCAGGAAGTAGATAGTTTGTGACACGGCTGCAACAGTGAGGGGGGTGAAACTCTGTTTAGCTCTGTGTGTGTGTGTGTGTGTGTGTGTGTGTGTGTGTGTGTGTGTGTGTGTGTGTGTGTTTGAGGGTGTGGGCGATGCTCATTTTCATGTGAAAGGGCTACAGCTGCTCCGTCCCTCTAAAGAAATTATTCATGCTTTATTCTAATGCCGAGCCCACAGGGTCCACACACACACACACACACACACACAGACACACACACACACACACACACACACACACACACACACACACACACAGCGACAGGGAACACCTCTGTTATTGGCTCAATCGAGCGACATGGGGGCAAATGTGTTTCTGACAGAACTCTCGGTTTTATTTTTAGTTTTTGTTACTGTGGGTAGAAAATGAGCAATAACAGCCGAATTATAACAAATGGTGAGTCCCTCGTGTCCCATTTTAGCCACACGCAGATAAATTAGCGTGGACAAACGCACAAAAACAAGCCTGCCATGATCTGAAGACAGTGTTAACTTCTTTTGGTCTACAAAATGTCAGCAGTGTTTCCCAAAGCCCAAGATGTCGCTTCAAATGTCTTGTTTTGCACTCATCCCAAAGACATTCAGTGTACTGTCACAGAGGAGAGGAGGCACTTGAATTAAAGACTCTTTTTCTTTCTTGAAAAATTACTCAAACTGATCAATTGATTATCATTTAATACTTGATAGATAATTGATTAATTGTTGCAGCTCTATTTCCAAATGTAAAACCTGCATGTCTTTTCAGATCTTCTGCTGCCCTGTCTGGAAGATCATCCTCACTGAACCTGGATCAGCTCACTTCCTCTTCTCCTTCATCCCATCAGTAGACTGTGAGTAGATATTAAATGATCAGTGAGCACATAAACACCCTCAGAATTTCACATTAAAAAGGCTGCAACCAACGCACTTTGGGGTTTGTAGATTTTTAAAATTGTCATTTATTTCGCAACTTTTCAGACCTTCTTTGCAAATTTATTTGTAAAACTAGCGACAAATTTAACGACATATTTAGACCAACAGGAGAGAAATATAATATGACTATTGAATTCCATGCGTGCTGCTCAGAGTAATCACAGTCCACAGCTCAGTAGGTGTGGGACAGATCGGAGGAGAGGAGACGCTGCTCGCTGTGGGGGTTCAGCCGCAGTGAGTTTCAGTGGTCAAACTGACGCTCTCGCTCTCTGGATTTAAAAGCGCGAGAAAGTAGTCATCAATATGCATCGAGCTTATGACATCATCTGGTCACTTCCTGACGAGTTTTGGAGCCAGTGCGAGCTACTTTAATTGGAAAAGAGCAGCACTGGACTTGTTTTGTCCAACCAACAGTCCCTAATTCATAAATATTCATCTTAAAGGGAAATTTCGGTTTATTTCAATCTGTCTCCTATAGTCCTAAATTTGTTTCAAGTGACATAGAAATAATAGTTAGCATGTTAGCCGTTAGCCTAGATACAGCCGGGGCGCATAGTAGCGTCAGACCTGTTAAAACGTAAGTGAACGGGCAACCTTCAAGTGCAAAGTTAGTCCACTAAACAAGCTTTTTTTCCACAAAGACCGCCTCATATCGTTAGGATAAATGTCAGAGAACATATAGAAAACGACATGTAAACGTATTGTCTTACCTTACCGGTGTGCTGCCATGTTTGTTTACCATCTAGCTCTGCTTTCCAAAGTGCGGCCGAAATATCGTGAGAACAAGCAGCGATCTCTTCAGAAAATCCATTGAAAAAAATCTGGATCTGCATCAAAACCTGTTTTAGAAATAATCTGCCAACTAACAAACAAACTGGATTGAAATTAAATCCTACTGACTGCATGTACGTAAATTTGTAAACCTTTTTCCCACATGGTGTTGTTGACTCAAATGCTGGTTGTTTTGATAGATCGTTTCGCCTCATTGTAATGTAATGCACTGTAAACCAGTCAGACAAGAACAATGTTAACATTGTCACGGTCATTGGAGGTTCCCCCTAACCGGCAGTGGAATCCAAGATAAAGTACAGGCACTCTGCTGTGCAGTCACATCACATTTACATGTCAGTCTGAGCTCAGTGATTTGGTGGTATGAACAGACAAGGTCTTTGTATCAGTACTGATTTCTGTGCAGCTGAGAGTCGGCATGATGAAGCAGAATAACTTGATGGGTCTGTACTCGACGACCTCATAGATCGCAGACATGATGTCACCTGCTTTGATTTACTGACAAGGCCAAAAATACTACCAATGAAATCCTCGTATTGGAGAAATGAAGGAAAGTTAGAACAGAAATTACCTTTCATTGCAAAAAGCACTCTCGTAATGAGACCTTTTTAAACATTAAAGAAAGGCATCAGCCTCTACTGAAGCTGAAAATCAGAAGAATAGACCTTAACAGTCTCACTTTAAACTGCGATTACTTGAGAGATTGATAGGAAACAAACACAAGTGATATGCGTACTCTTCATATCCATTATTTGATGTTATCATTGAAATTCTGCTAGTATTGTCAGATTTTCATGTTAACCAAATCAGATCTGAAAGGATGATTAATGGATTTATAGAGTGGCAGAAAATTCATCTGCAGCTGTTTTAATAATTGTCATTTTTCATAAAAAGCTGTCAAACATTCACTGCTGCTGAATACAGTGTGAGGATTGGTGCTTTTTCTCTGTTTGGGGAATGTGGAGGCTGGGTTGATACCTCAAGCTCTTTGTCACGATCATTAGGCCATTCCTGAGCAGTGTGGCATTGCACATTGTCCTGCTGGGGGGGTCACTGCCATCAGGCAGAGCCGTTGCCATAAGAGGGGTACTTGGTCAACACATTCTGACCCGACCACGTCACATATCGACATTTGGTCATGGACTTTCCAAGTCCAGATACGACTAGGGCTGGGTATCGGTACTCAATACCTTTTAGGTATCGACCGAAATAATCCAATACCAAGTAGTATAGAAATTGCTCCATTCAAACGAGTACTTCATTCGATCCTTTTTGTACACAGATATAGAAAAATTCTGTGATGATTTTCAAGTCAGGGAGCACGTTGTGAGTTGTGTTGTGTCGAGATGAGTCCAGAACAGTCCAAAGTATGGCTCAACTACATGCCGGAGGCTTCTGACAAAGGGAAGTGCTTAAAATGTGGAAAAATTATTTTGGGAAAAGCAGATGACACATGTAGCATAGCATGATGAAAACGCATCTAATCAAACAAGGAGAGGACTTGAGGGTGGATAGCTGCACTGTGTTCAAGCTGCGTCTCGAGAGCATACACCGTCCAGTACGCAAGCACTGCGACCGACTACTTCAGGTAGCCTAATGGTTAGCTACTAACATTACTCATCTAGGTATCGAATGAAGTACTCATTTGGTATCGGTATCACTTTAAAGGTATAATATGTAGTTTTTCCACATAAAAATGTCTAAAAACGACTAAACCAATATTATATATTTTGTTTAGTTGTGTACTTTGATTATCAGAAATGTTTCCAACAATTTTTCAAACCCAGATAAATATGAAATATTAATAAAAGTTACGGACAGTGTCATTAGGTCGCATGTCAATGGCGATGTAACTCCGGTTACCATAGCCATTAAATGAAGGAGAAGAAGAATAAGCAGACCGGATGAGACGTCAGAGAATGAACGTTACTGTTGCTAGGCTAAGCTAAATCATCATGGATCATAATTATACATTGACGGTTGCTGCACCTTCTGACACCGAAGCTGTCCCGGTAAACAAGCCGGTAAAACGGAAACGTACGGGTCAACCAAGCGATCCCAGAAGAATTTGGGATAAGAAGAGAGCTAAATCAAGGATAAATATTGGTGTGGCCTTTCCGAGAAGAAGAGAGCTTAATGAAAATCTAGGACTACAAATCGACACCGACCTAGCATGTGTTCTAATAGACAGGTAAGCAAACATCTGGCTGATGTTATCGAAATATTAATCATTTCCACCAGTGTATTGCAAGCACTGCTGCCCGCCAGGGTACCAGCGCTCCGGCCAGCCACAGTCGGTTTCGGTTTCACGGAGTGAGGAACGTCAGATCTGTATCTGTTATATGACTCCCATGATCCCACGCTACTTCGTGATGTCAAACAACTCCGTCTTCTGTTATTGTTTTGGTTTGAGACCCCTAGTGGCAGAAAATTACATATTGCACGTTTAAGTGTACTGGTATTGGTACTGATATCGTAATTTTTCAAACAATACCCAGCCCTAGATAAGACGTGAAGGTACCCTGGGTGCCTTCTTTTTTGAAGTTCTGGGACGCTGTGTCATCTTCAACCTGTTAAATGCATCATCTGTTTTCAAAATACACTTCTGTTTTCACAGGAAATTTACCGTTTACACACAGTCTCTTTCAAAATAAATGGCTTTATAATCTTATGGGACACAAACACTGCTCTCCCGGGTGAAAGTCGGTGTTTGTTGGACCCATCTACCTCCCCTCCCACTTGCCCTACTCAGACTTTAGTCGCCTTAACTTTAGTTCGTGTTCCGCCACGTTTCCCTCAATGCAGCACATCATGCCAACATTAAAGGGCGGCTTTTTTGTCAGCAAGTGCTTTTCCATTAACCCTAGAAATGCGCAAAACCTAAATATCGCAATAAAAAACTTGTAATGGAAACACCTGCATTTCGAAAAAACTCTTAAATATGGAGAAAAAGTTTTTACACTCTCATGAGGTGGTTTTTCAGACGTGTCGATATAGAAGTACATTGCAAAAGTGTAATGGAAACACTTTTTTCGCGAATATACGTCACCGGACATTGACATTGGTGAATTCCTCGTTCACGATCCCCTCCCAGAAATCCTTTATCCGTGGTCGTTGCCACACATAAGGACTTTGCCTTTGCAATATCACTCGCTCTCTTCGTCTTCGGTTGTAGACTACTGCAACAGCAGCAGTAGCAACCGAGATGATTGTTCCAGCTCGCAAGAGATTTGGAATGTCCATCTTACTTCCGCAAACAAAGTGGAGTCTCGCGGGACGAGATTTTAAGAGAATTACGGCTCACGCGCAAAAAAACTTTTAATGGAAACACCTGCAAGTTGCAATTATGCTTTATCGAAACTTTAGAAATATCGCATTTATTTTGCTCAAAACTGTAATGGAAACACGGCTAGTGTCCGAGGCTGCAAGTCACTGCCCAAGCACTGGATTTCCACGACTTCGGAGTGAGACCTGGTTGACTTGGTGGAACAGTGTTTGGGTGGGTGGAGCACATCGGGTGGCATTGACATGAATGTCAGGACCCAAGGTTTCCCAGCAGAACATGGCATTGCAACAACATAATGAATATGATCCACTTCATCTGTCAGTGGTTTTAATGTTTTGGCTGATTGGCGTGTACGATTGTGAGTAGGGATATCGAGTTCAATTAAAGTATTTGTTTCTAAAAACATAAAATGATGTGAAATACAAGAGGCGCCAGGACTTGACATAAACACTTACCCAGGGCAAGGAAACTGTTCAGGCGAGTGTAATGTCTCGTGCAGTTGTCAGCTCAGGCAAGTGAAAATTAAATGTTACGTCTAACGTAATGTTATGTGAAAATAAATTGCGTTATCACTGAAGCAGAGCTTTTCCAGCAGAGCTGCATGTGCGAGTCTGTCTCATTACCAAGGGCTGAACAGAGCTGATGAGAAAAATCTGACACCCTGTACACTTTAGAAAGCTCAATTTGGGGTCAATAATGTTACACATGCTATAATGTTACTAACGTTAAATATCTCTTGAAGGCTGCATGCAAGAGAGACTTCCTTGTTTCAGTTTTGTAATCTATCCTTGAACTGTGGAGGATCTTTGGTGACTGTTAAAAAATCCATAATGATAAATCTGA